AGCCCATGGCCAGGGCATGGGGTGGGTATTTCTCAGTCAAGCAATAACAATTACATGAACAACCCCCTGGCTGGCTGTTAAGGCAATGCCTACTTTTTCCGGACTCTGAATCTCTTAGCTCAAGAAATATGGAGGTTTTGTGGGAGACACCTGGACACAGGAATTCACTTCACGATATAAGACTAGAGGGGTTTTTGTTTACGTTAGATGAGTTCTTAACTTCAGGGAAGACACAGCTGTGGACAAGGCCCAAGTTCTAAGTGCTCAACCCTTCTTCATCTTTCTATACAAATGGTTCCCGACCTTAGACACAACGAGATTCTGTTTTCTGTGGTTGGTTCCATACCCACTTATTTATAGCTTCATTATAACATTTGCTACTTTGTCTTCTGACAGTTTTTTTCCTTATCTGTATACCAGTGAGGTCAGTCACTGAGGCCCTCACTGAGGGCCAGGAATGGATCCTAATTATCTTTATGCTTTCACTGCCCAGAACATACCAGGGGATCAATATATTTTTGTGTGAGTGTGCGCATTTATGCATAGGGTGAAGAAGTAGATGGAAAACAGGTAGAAATGCGCTTCACTGTCACAACACAAGAAGTCTGCAGTGGGTTGAGGAGATGACTCAGTTGGTAAAGTGCTTGAGGTCCAGAGCACAATCTCCAGGACCCCTGTGAAAGGTCAGCACATCGTCACATCCTAGTGATCTTAGTGCTGGGGAAAAAGGAGCAGAGGATCACTGAGGTTGATAGCCACCCAGTCTAGTCAAATGGGTGGACGCCATATTCACTGAGAGACCTTGTCTCAAAAAGTAACATGGAGAACAATTGAGAATGACACCTTGGAGGGTCTATAGCCTGTCCCTGCCTGGCAAACATGGCTCTGGCAGGACATGGCCTTCTCCCTAGTTCTAGCTACCTTACTAAAAACCATTAGATTACATTCCTGAAGCTAGCTCCCAAGGTCCATTTCTTTATTTGGCTAATCCCACCTCCAGAGATTGACTACCAAGGTCCAGACATCAAAGTATTGGAGTCCAGCAATTAAAAGCCCCTACTGGCTGCCTTAATTAACCTGCCCAATTACACCTCATCCTAATATGGCATTTCCCCTTGTACCTTTATGAACTGCCATTTTCCTGTGTGCCAAGTCTGTCTCCTCTCTATCTGGAGGCATTCCTTTGTCATTATCCCTCCTGTCCCTTGCTTACCTCCCTCATCCTCTATGTCCTGTCTTTGTCTCTTATTCCCACTATTTGTACCTCTGGGGCAAATAAATCTCCTTTGTGCTGAGAACTTGGTCTTGGGCTGTCCTAAGCTGATACTTTTCCCTATATAACTGATACTAACCTCTGACCTCCACAGACATGAACACACACACACACACACACACACACACACACACACACACAACTGACACTTAAAATCTATACAATATAATGATAAAATATCAATGGAAATAGAAAAGAAATTATTTTATTAAAATATACATAACAATATTTTCCTAGAAAAAAGTTGATACTTAAATAGACGAACTTTAAAAGTAATTAAAATTATAGTAAAAAGAGGTGGTCAGTTTAACAGCGCATACATAAGCTTTACAAAACCTGTAAAAAAAAAACCTTGAAGAAAAAGAAAACATAAAATTAAAATATGAATATATAAACTATTTAGTATAAAACTGCAATAAGTATAACCCATTATAGCAGCATAATTTCATATAAAACCTCTCAGTAGGCTTGGACAGAAATGTTCCCGACTCTAAGGCAACAAATCAGCAAACTACAACTGAGGTCCTATTTGATGTGAATCCTTGGAACCTTTGAGGGTGTTCCTGAAAGTGACATCTACAGGGCAGACTGTAGAATGAAGAGGGGTTTAGCTAGGAAGCCTGAGCAGAAGGAAGGCTGGTAGAGAAGAATCAGAGTGGCACCGGGAAAGTGACTATAATAATAATAATAATAATAATAATAATAATAATAACAATAATAAATCATACCTCAGGTTTTTCCAAGGGAAAAATTAAGTAAAATTGTGTTAGCACTCATTCATTAACCCCCAAAGCATTTATGAAGTATTTACCATGTGCCATGCCATGTTGTGTTGCAAATAAGCAAAACATATACCCTATATTACTTAAGTCAAGTGCCCTAAAACAAAATGGAACTAAATGAAAAACCAGACAAGAATATGGCCTATCAGGCCTGGGCTAAATACAAGAGTGGTGTCTTTGGCAGAAGTGCATATGTCTTCAGGACAAGGAGTCCCTCAGATTTGTCCTCCCTACTTGTTACAGAGAGACCCAGAGTCTGGAATTCGAACACAGAATTCCTTTATGACTAAGGTAGTTCATGGCAACTTTAACTGCGGTGCCATGTTTAAACCACAGTTGATTGAGGGATTTCTTGTAGCCCTGCTGTGTTTGATGTACTCAAGGCTTTATTACAGAAAAATGCTGGTAGAAGAAGACAAGGCAAGGATTCCACATTACCAACAGGCTGGACACCTAACCTTCGTTGCAGTGAGATCAAACTCCAGCTTCTTTCCCTTCAACTTCTGCTATTTCTACTGAAACCCAGGATCTAGTTATACCCATTTGGGCATGCCCATTAACGTGATCAGAATCCTTCACAGCTATTCACATGACTGCTTTTAACCGGGTTTGAAAAGGAAAAATCGGGGAGGTACAGTCTGATTTTCCTTCTGAAGTACTCAAGGGCAGACTGGGAAAGCCTCCTGACATAGGACCCAGGACTGCACTCCACCTTACACACATTAGGTCTTTACCAAGTGGCAGAATGAGGCAGGAGACAGTTTGGAAGAAAGGGACCTTTGAAACCACTGAGTGGAAGCGTCTGTCCTGGCAAATTGGGAATAAGCTGCAAGGCTAACTGATGGATGCCTTACTTAGAACCTAGGATATCTGGAACTCCAGGCAACACTTTTCTAATGCATGTATTACCTATTCCTTATTGAGTTAAATTTGTAAATAAACAACCTTGTCAGTGGTTGGGAGGGTATTTGGTATACTCTTTGGGGGGAAAAATTCCCTTGTGTACAGATAAATTAACACTTGTACCAAAGCATATTTGAACATGAGTGCAAATCTCTATTGTTGTAATTTAAGAAAAGTGGCGCATGAAAGATTCCATGAGACAGGATTTAAGTAGAGGGTTATTTTTATTAGGGAAAGGGATCCTAAAAAGGGGAAAGGGGGGGAGACCAGCTCCTGGAGACAGGAGCAGCGGGAGAGGAGAGATAGGAAAGAGGAGGAAAGAGAGAGGGAGGGGGAGAGAGAAGAGAGGGAGAGAGAGGAGAGGGAGAGAGAGGAGAGGGAGAGAGGAAAGGGAAAGAGAGAGGAGAGGGAGAGGGAGAGGAGAGGGAGAGAGAGAGGAGGATGGGAGGTGGGCAGGGCCCTTTTAAAAGGGAACACAGTGAATGTGCACAGGTGGTCCTCTTAGTGGCTGCAGCTGAGAGTGTATTCTGTCAGAACCCCAAGGACAGGCCAGTACAGATGTCTGAATACTAACTTCTACGACATGCCACATTATGAAAAGCTCAGAGGTCCTTACCATTCACACTATAAAGTGTTCAGGGAACTTGCTTTCTCCCAACACCCACCATTCAAACATGGTCTTTAAATTTTAGTTTAAGCTTTATAGTAAATCTGAATAAAAGGTACAGGATGGACTCTGGGCACATGGCTCAGTTAGTTAAGTGCTGGCCAAATAAGAATCAGGACTAAGTTCAGACTCAAAGCACTCACATAGAAAGCCAGGCATGGGGGCACACATCAGTAATCCCGACTCTTGGAAAGTAGGAGCAGATGGTTCTTGGAACTCAGTGGCCAGCAAGCCTAGCTCAAGCCATGTAGTTTCAGGAAGAGATACCGTCTCAAAAACTATGGTGAGGAGACATTAAGGAAGACACTCAACTTCAAGCTCCTGTCTATCTATAAATGACACACACACACACACACACACACACACACACACACACACACACACACACACAGAGAGAGAGAGAGAGAGAGAGAGAGAGAGAGAGAGAGAGAGAGAGAGAGAGAGAACTACCACACAACTCCTGCCCTGCATGTGCACAGCTTCCCAGCCATCAATGTCTTCCACTGGACTGGCTCACTTGTCACAACTGATGAAGCACCCTGACACATTTTCACTGAGTCCATAATTTATGTGTGAGTTCTCTGGGTGTTTGTTGTCTAGTAAGTTTGGGCAAATTTACAATGAAGTGTTCCACAATTAGAGTATCATACAGTGTTGCATCCCCCCCACCAGGTATGCTCATTCACCCCTTTCATCTCCCCATCTCTACCTAACCCTGACAGCTCGTGATTTGCCTCCAGTTTTGCCTTTACTGCTTGTAATACAGTCGGCATTGTGCAGTACACAGCCTTTTCAGAGGCTCCCCTTTGCTTACTAATAAGCCTTTCCAATTTCTTTATGCGTTTTATGTTTTGACAGTCTCCCTTTATTGCTAAGTGGCATTCCATTATTTAGATGGACTGTGGACACCATCTTTAGATGTCTGACCATTGTATTCCCACATCCCTCGCATCTCACCAAAACACAAGCCAAACTTTGGAGAGATGTCTAGTGATGAGAAGAACAGAATTGAAATTGTGATTTAAGTTAAGGCTCACATATTTTCTGTAGCTAATTACTCATGTCCCACTTTGCCAAATGGGGGAAGGTGAATTTCAATTCAAATGTAAAGTAATTCTCCCTGAAAATATACTGGGGTATATTTATCTCTGAGAAAAAAAAGTCTTGCCTTCAGAATGAATCAGACTGAGATGAAATTTTATTCTAACATTTAAAAGAGAAGGGAATAAAGGAAAGAAAGAAAAATCAGACAGTGAAAAATAAGAGAGGGAGGAAGGAAAAGAAGGAGAGAGGGAGAGAAGAGTAGAGAGAGAGAGAGAGAGAGAGAGAGAGAGAGAGAGAGAGAGAGAGAGAGAGAGAGAGAGAGAGAGAGAGAGAGAGAGAGAGAATCAGAATGGGGAACAGAGAAACTTGCTAACTAACAGAATTTTCCGAGCAAGGTATTTCTCTCCCTTTTACAAGTTAGCAGTTACTGAATAATTCATGACAGCATGGAAAGGCTGTCTTCCCCTGGTGATGGATAACTAAGCAGGAGAGCGCTCCAAGTGGGTTTGCCACATCAGTCAGCGCTCTTGCTTCTGAGCACAGGGTGCGCTCCTCTCCAGCTCAGCTTCTCTTGCAGCCAGGCATCCCTGCTGCTGCTGCCTGCCCACCCGCCTGGGCTTGTAGCCTACCACTTTACTTTCTCCAGTTCTGCTGCCAGCTGAGGAGACTTCCCACAGCTGCTGGCTCCTGCCTGGGACCATGTGTGTGGATGCCGCTTGGGAGAAGCAAGGCACTTGCTCCTGGCGTGGATCCCAGCTCAGCTTCTCCTGTTGACTTCTGGACCACAGATGCTGAGGAGGGACTTCCTGGCATCTCTCCCTCTGCCATCACCAGTTTAAGGACTGGACCCAAATCAAGGTACCATCTACTCCCTCTCCTTGGCATTTTCCCCAGGATATCTCTACTTTCTCCCAGTAACAAGGGGCTTGGGGGCTGGCAACAAACACTCTTAACTCGTGTGTGTGTGTGTGTAGAGAGAGAGAGAGAGAGAGAGAGAGAGAGAGAGAGAGAGAGAGAGAGAGAGAGAGAGAGAGAGAGAGAGAGAGAGAGAGAGAGAGAGAGAGAGAGAGTGTGTGTGTGTGTGTGTGTGTTCGGGAAAATCGTTCTTGGTATTGATGACCTTCCGGCTTCCCTGCTGCTTGCCGACTGTACGGACTATCTCTGTCCCTGGAAACATTTCTGAGGCAGGCACCTATCATCTGCCACCCCTATTTCTCCTTCAGCTCCCTCTCTCCCCCTCCCCCAACCCATCATTCGGCTTCAGCCTTTGTGTCGGTGGCAGCTGGCTGATGGGATGTCTTTGCCCTCCCAGCAGGCAAGTGTCAGGATGGGCCACGCTGCAAGACGCCAACGCTAGGGCGCGAGGTGTGAAGAGTTGTCCAGAATGACCAACTCCTCCTCCACTTCCACCTCCTCCACCACCGGGGGATCGCTGCTGCTGCTCTGCGAGGAAGAAGAGTCGTGGGCCGGCCGGCGGATCCCGGTGTCTCTCCTGTATTCGGGGCTGGCCATCGGGGGCACGCTGGCCAACGGCATGGTCATCTATCTCGTATCGTCCTTCCGAAAGCTGCAGACCACTAGCAACGCCTTCATCGTGAACGGCTGCGCCGCGGATCTCAGTGTCTGCGCTCTCTGGATGCCACAGGAGGCGGTGCTGGGGCTCCTGCCCGCGGGCTCCGCGGAGCCCCCGGGGGACTGGGACGGTGGCGGGGGCAGCTACCGCCTGCTCCGGGGCGGGCTGCTGGGCCTCGGGCTCACCGTGTCCCTCCTGTCCCACTGCCTCGTGGCGCTGAACCGCTACCTGCTCATCACCAGGGCGCCCGCCACCTACCAGGTTCTGTACCAGCGGCGCCACACGGTGGGCATGCTGGCGCTGTCCTGGGCCCTGGCCTTGGGTCTGGTGCTTTTGCTCCCGCCCTGGGCGCCCAAGCCGGGAGCCGAGCCTCCGCAAGTCCACTACCCCGCGCTCCTGGCGGCCGGAGCGCTGCTGGCACAGACGGCGCTGCTGCTGCACTGCTATCTGGGCATCGTGCGCCGCGTGCGCGTCAGCGTCAAGCGGGTCAGCGTGCTCAACTTCCACCTGCTGCACCAGCTGCCCGGCTGTGCCGCCGCCGCCGCCGCCTTTCCCGCCGCCCCACATGCTCCGGGTCCCACAGGCACCGGGAACCCCGCCCAGCCCCAGCCCCTGCCGGCCGCCCTGCAGCCGCGTCGCATGCAGCGACGTCTCAGCGGCTTGTCGGTGCTGTTGCTTTGCTGCGTCTTCTTGCTGGCCACGCAGCCGCTGGTGTGGGTGAGCCTGGCCAGTGGCTTCTCGCTGCCGGTGCCCTGGGGCGTGCAGGCGGCCAGCTGGCTCCTGTGCTGCGCCCTGTCGGCGCTCAACCCTCTGCTCTACACGTGGAGGAACGAGGAGTTCCGCAGATCCGTGCGATCAGTCCTGCCCGGCGTCGGGGACGCGGCTGCAGCAGCAGCGGCCGCCACCGCGGTGCCAGCCATGTCCCAGGCGCAGCTGGGTACCCGGGCAGCTGGCCAGCACTGGTAACTCACCTGGCCCAGGGAGGCTTCCTATGCCATCTGCCGCATCACCTCCTCTCTTTGTAAGCTATCCCCAACCCCAGAGAAGATCCCCGAGGGGAAGATTTTGCCTTCCTTTCCCAGTGCAATACCTGAACCAAGGTCTTCCCCTAAATGGAGTCCCAAAGTAATTGTGCGCGACCGCCAGACTTTTATCCTTTGTTTTTGTGTTTTAGAGACACCCTTACGTCCAGACACCCAGACTACAAAGACTTACAAACTGGCATTTAAAGTGCCGGTTAATTTATTTCAAGTTTGCTTTTGAAACAGAGCTTTCATAATATACAACCCTTCCAACCTCCATTGTCTTATATATGAAGCGCCTTGAGTGTATGAGTGTGCGTGGGTCAAAGGGAATATTGTGGAAGAAGAAACAGTGTGTGTAGACAGTATTTTAATCACGCCTCCTTCTGTTATAGTTCAGTCTTTGTATATTGACCTGGAAGAGTGAAACCACAGGTGTGCACACCGGTGTGAGCTGCCATTGAGACCTCAAGCCCTGTATTTTCAAAAGGGTCGCTATTGAGTCGTTTTTTAAAAATGAGATTAGACTGTCAGCCAGTAAGGAAACAAATCAAATTTAGCATTTTATTTTCCTCTTAACTCACTTCTAAGGTGGAAAACTAGCCTTGGGTATTGTATCGAAAAATTTCAAGTTTGTTAATGGATGGTCTGAAACCAGAAATGGAATTTTGGAGACAAAAAGGGGGGGTTATCTATTTTAGGTACCAGTTTCACATTTTCTAAAGCATGCACACATCCTGCTAACCACATTTGTAACCAATTTATTCGCCTCTGAGTGTGATCGCAGCTTCGAACATTCTGTACTATAATGGTTGCTAAGGAGAATGAATACTGTTTTCTCTTTAAGATATCTCAATGCACATGATATAATTAAACACTAATACCATAACTGCATAGCTAATGTTAGCTGCTATTGCATGCTCCTAGATGTTAGAACGTATTGGGAGATAGCCATTAGACAAAGACATTTTATTTCTTCCAGACATCAGAAGGGATGGCCTTTAATCATTTGGAAAGAGGCACAGATACACCTGTGGCTGCTTAGAGTTCTTGTCTTGACCTGATTTATAAGAAAATTCCCACTTGGGACTTTAGCTCCCAAGTGAAACCAATGGTCAAGATGATACACTAATACAGATTCGCTCTGCAAAGCTAAGTGTGCTTTTAGGGGTGAAACAAGCCACACCCTAGGAAGTATCACTGTTTTATGTTGTTCATCTATATTACCATGACATTTAATATCAACATCATGTCTTTTGAAGACGGAATAGTACGCTCGGTTGTGTGTCAAAGTCACCGTCCAAAGGGGACTCCATTTTCAAATCTCTCAGTCGAGTTTTGCCATCTTCATCTTTGACTTCCTAAATGTTTTAAGATACATTTTCAGTGTGCAGAGTCATGTGAAGTCATCTCATGAAATTAAACGGGGGAAAAGTAATAAGAGGCGCAGGGCAGTCTGTTAGCCACATAAAGTCCTGAGCCAAACAGCCTCAATGAACTTCGTAATTCGGGAGTAAAGACGGCTTACTTTGTTGCATTCTTGGACCAAGGATGGTAAGAACACTTGTATATTTGCATAATTATGGGAGACCCAGGGAATGGACAATTTTAGAGTAAAACAAAATAAAATAAACATGTTTGTCACTAACAATACATCATCAGTCATGTTATTAACCACACACTGCATGAGCCATTTTTCTCTTACGAAGTTTTCATCTCTTCCCGGATTCCTGGATTCAGATATTTAATTAAACTTTAGATAATGCTTCTTCTGGGTCCATTTCTTCTTTCTTTGGGTATCTGTTCTTTGTCTCTGTCTTGATGATGCTGTACTAGAAGGCACTGTGTTCCCAAACAAAGTGACTTTTAATTATTCTAAAATGTTTCCTACTTCATGTAGGTAGGTGAGGTCCTTGCACTACTTTAGGAAAAGAGCTAGATACGTTTCCTTGCTGTAAACATCTTGGAACCTATCACAGAGAGATGGGGATTTTTCCATTTGAGAGTCCAGTGGGACAAATTTCTAAAGCCTTCTAGTTAAGCATTGTCCTTGTTTCTCATGGTGGGTGATGTCAAAAGTTCCCTCTCAGTTCCTATACTGTGCCACACCTATAAAGAAATTTGCAAATGAGAATCTGACATCTTGCCATGTTTCTGGCTAGCACTGAGAGCTGCTGGCTGGCGCCATGCCATGTGGGAGACCTACTTTCAATTAATTTACTAGTAATTAACTCCACAGGACTGATTCACTTTTAATTTTAAAGTAGCACCGATGCATCTAAAAATGCCTTCCCAGGCACTGCCTGTGAGTGTTGGAGTTACTGCTTTGACAAATTAAATTAATGGAGATTGTGTTCTTATTTAAATGAAACCACATATTATCCACCCAGGAATAAAAAAAGAAGTTCCTAACTGCTCTCCCAGGCTTCCCTAATTTGCTTTTTTCCTTTTATGTGCATGCCTAATAATGTGTACAATGTCTACCTTCCTTCTGCATTCATTTCAAGGGCTAAATTCTAGGACAGAATAGGCCTTATCTGCAGCACTTTCTTCCTTTAACAATGAAGATTGTTCATAAACAAGAATTCTGGTTGGTACAGGGACATTCACCCATATCGTTTCAAGTCAGATAAATTTCTCTTTGTCTTAGAATTACAAGAAACGATTTCCACACTGGGATACACTTCTTTTCAGAGGGACCCAGTGGAGGATGGCATGCAGAGGAGGAAGGGGTGAGGGCAAAGAGGCTTTCTTTAAAACACTGATAAAGGCGTTGAAAAGATCTGCTTGCCAGTGGGAAGTTGGTCTGCTTTGAACTCACAGTGGAGGACAACCTTGTCCTTCTAGTGGTGACATATTAAGTGACTTTGGCATTTCTTGTGCCACCTTTATGGCGTAGCCCAGGGGTTCATATGATATTTGCCCAGCTCTACAGAAGCCTTAGTGGCTCACTTGAAGAGGACCTCCATGGTGTGACTCTACCTGAAGAATGGAGGAGCTGGGACAATGGCTCAGTCAGTAAAGTGTTTGCTGTACAAGCATGAGGACCCGAGTTCAGATCCCTGATGGCAGGTTAAAGGAAGGTCACAAATACCCAGATAACGACCACTCACACAATGATGATAAATAATGGCTATAGTCTTCCTGCTCCAGGAAATGCAGCCTATGCCCTTCAGGATGCTCCGATCTTAACTCTACAGAGACAGCCAGCCCCTTCTCTTCCTTATAAGGGGTCATGTCCACATACACTGAGGCCACGCCCTAAGGTGTGGCCACCACCCCAAGCCCACTGGTGGAACAAAATGCCACTACAGATCCCTACAATCCATTTAAAAAAGTCAAGCATTGGACAGCATGGCTGGGATTCCAGTTCTGGGGAGGTAGAGACAGGAGGACCCCTGGGGCATGCTGGCCTTCTATTTTGGCTTATGGGTGAGTTTGATATTTCAGTGGGAGAATCTGCCTCAGAAAATAAAGTATGGAGCAATTAAAGAAGACACTCGACATCAGCCTTTGGCCTACACATACTCTTGTGCGAGTGTGTGTGTGTGTGTGTGTGTGTGTGCGCGTGCGCACATGTGAGTATTGTACTCACACACATGAACATTGAGAAAAATCATGATGCTCCTTCCTTTCAAGGCCTGTTCTTGATGTTTATGGCTTGTGGAGCCAGAGTGGTGCTCCAAATGCAGCTTTGGGTCTACGGGAAGGTGACGATTTCTTCCTTGGTATGTGCTCTTTTAATATCTCCAGGAACCTCATGCAAATGTGTGTTGCTCAGCCATAGACCTGAGTTCGGCCTGTATTCCCATCTCAGCCAGATGCCTTGCCACCTCTGGCATCTAGTGGTGAACATACAGAGGCCAAAGTAACCCCTGGAAGTGGTTGCTGGTTCTTTGGGCAGGGAACTCATGTGTTCTAGGCACCTGCATTCATGAGGGTGAAACAAACTAGCATATGTCCTTGTGGGATGGGTGGTCAGAGGACAGTAAAAGCCCTCCCCTTAAAGTGCAAGACCTAGGTTGGAGTCCCAGTTTCTCTGCATGGGATGGTGCTGTCAACACTCTCGTTTATAGGCTCTCTAGGCAGCCTTGCCTAGCCTGCCCCTCCAATAGGGCCTTCCTAGTGAAGCCCCTCACTGAGATTCCCAGATACTTCCAAAGGCCTGGTACATAGTAGAAGGGGAGGAGAGAGGGCTGCGTCTGAAGTACAGGTTGGATGTGACTATCTGTTGGAAGGATGTGATGGGTACGTGGGATCTCCTGCACCATTCTCCCTACTGATGTGCACCTTTGGAATTTTCATAAGGACACACGCCTTAAAAGCTGTGACCAAAGCTAAGGGGATATAAAAAGAAAGAGAAGAAAGGAAGAGCACAGAAAGGACAGGAGCCAAAGCTCGAGATCCCACAGGGTTAAGTAAGTGGTCAAATAACCCGCAACACTTCTGTCAAACCAAAGCTGTCTACGTGGTATTTTGGTTCTAATCACCACTTTACGTGTAGTTATTTCTGAGGGTCTTATGTAGGAAAGCTGTGGGTTTTGATTTGTGAAAGGCTTATATATTGCTTCTCAGTGACAAGGCACTGTTGCCAGAACCTGGGAGAAATGACTATGGGATGTCTTGACCTTTTCTCTGTAGTTCAGGGTGTGGCAGCATGGAAGAAAGTGCTGGGGACCATTCAGGCTAAGGATTTGCTATACTTATTAAAGAGAAATTGCTTGAATTTCAAACAGTCTGTTATATAATTTAGGTTCAGTGTCCAATTGTGTATTTTCATCTTTTGTGTCATGAGGTTGAACAGACACTCTGCTTTTAGCAAAAAGGCAGTTCTATGAAATGTTGGCATGGTATATTATAGCACTATAATATACATGCTTCCAAAAGGTTCTATTTAACTTTGTGTGTGTGTGTGTGTGTGTGTGTGTGTGTGTGTTTGCACATGCCACTAAAATTCAGAGTACAATTCTCAGGAGAATAGAATGTATGCAACAGTAAACCAAACTATCACTCCCATCTTTGATAAAGTTGAAATTAAGTCAGTGGGATGGCTCAACAGACAAAGGTGCCTGCCACCAAGATACCAAGATGGACAAACTGAGAGTTAAGCTGAGACTGGAGGATGTAACAATATTAGTGCCGTGAAAGGTTCACTAACTCTTTCCATATCAGTCTAAGCTTAGCACACGTGGGGTGAACAACTTTCCTTGGTCCAGACTGAGAGAAAAGACAGAGGCCACATGACTTTCACATAAGACCTTGATAAAAGAGAGCTGCTTTGTGGAGAAATTTGGGTGGGTAACTACTTCCCATGTAGTGGGCAACTCACTTCATCCCGAATGAGTAGTTTGGAAACAAGGAAGAGGCCAGCAATGTCAACAAAAATCTTTTCTTTTGGGAGCTGGACAGATGAGAAAATGAGACATCCCTTCTCTAAGTGTGTGCACCCTGTGGTGTTGAGCCAGGGACAGGCAGGCACAGGATGGAGTCACTGTGATGAGTCATGGCACTATGTGTCTATGCAGCTTTGCCAGAGGGAAGAAATACCTTCCACTTTCTGACCACAGGTAAACCACCAATTATATAAGACACGGTATCATGACCCTACGTGCAAGCTGGAGTAGTAAATAAGTGTAATCTCCAGGATAGTTTCTATAAACTAAGCAATGAAGTATGATTAAGTAGGAGATGATCAGTGGAGAAAAATGGGTAAATAGAAAAAATGAAGTTTAAATATCAGAAAGATTGCTGCTGCTGTTGCTTTTCACAACAACAGTAAAGGACAGGTATTAAGCCAGGTGGCACATTCTTTAATCCCCAGACATAGGAAGGAGGATCACTGGCCACTCTGGGGTTCATAGTGAGACTCTTTCTCAAAAGGACAAAATAACACAAGGCAGGTATTATGATTTGCTTTATAACTGGCAGCTTCATCACTGCCCATAAATGTCACTAGCAGAAGAGACTGATGACTGTTAAACTCGAGTCTAGTTGACTCCAAAGCTGGGACTTAGAAACACAGTGTCACACACAGAATCCACAGCAAGTGCCAGAAGCAAGATTTGGCTCAGTGGGTGGGAGATAGATTTCAGCTTGATAGGAGGAAAAAAGAACTTTATCTCAAATTATAAGTGCTCAAAATAGTTGGGGCTGTCTCGGGAGATTATGACTTTCCTAGCACCTGAGGGACAAGTTGAGGTGGAAGATTAACGTGCTAACGGGAGTCTCTGCAGGTGAAAAGCTTCCCCATGTTAAGTAGAGATGCCATTAAAGGCTGGTTTCTGTGATTACGTAAATAGCTCTTCTGCTTGGAGGTGACAACTGCCTCCTTGTTCTGGTCCTGTGATATTTCAGCTGGTTAATCACAAGGAGCATGCCTGCTATATACATATCCTACCCCTCACCAACCAAACAGAAGCAAGCTGCAGTGACAGCAGATATCCCTTATGGGGCACGGGGACACCAACAGGACACATTCTTTGTCACTTTGCCCAATTCATACTTCTTCTAGTCAGTCTCCCTTTTGGTCCCACCTCATCCCCCAACTTTTTCTTTTTAAGAGGAATATAGGATGGAAGAAGTGTCTCTTAGCATTTTCTCAGGCTAAATATGGAGACACGGTGTATTAGTTATACACATTTAATTTTAATAAGGAATATTTTTTATTGCTTTTTATTTTGGGGGAATGGAACAGACTTCAAGGCGACCAGTTGGATGAAAAATAAGCTAAGGTCAGCTTTCTTGGAAACATTACTTTTGCTGAACATT